AATGTTGTTGTCGTTGCTGCTGTTCCTCCCTCACCTTCTCCATCGCAGCCTTCCGTTCCCGTTCCCACATTTCCCTCTTCATAGCTTCGCGTTGTTGAAAATTGAGTGCCGAAATGGAAGGGGGGAGCGTGGGCATAATTGCCGGTTTACCTGAAGGTCTAACGGAGTTTGTTGCGTTCGCCGGTGCGTAGCCCATGTTATCGCGGCGGACGATCATAGATGGGAGACGGAGTTGGAGCTTTTGTGTGTTAGCATTAATTTTGTATGCTTGTGAGATGGTAGATGAGAGGGCAAAGGGAAAGAAGTAACTTACAGTACTAACAACCTTTGCCTGATTTAAGCCCATGACTTCCGAGATGAATTTGAGCCGTCCTTTAATCCACAACCTCTGCGAATCCGTCGTGAAATCACTACAGCTAACTGATAACAGCGGCCAAATTGAATAAACCCCTCCTAACGCCTTGACACCCGTGGCATCGTTACCACTCATAGGATCTCCCGGTTTCAGTCTTCCCTCGGCATCTAAATGCCACCCAAACATAAAAGGAATAGAAGCGATGATATCACAAATCAAGTCCTGGCCCATCCTCGACATTTGCGCGTATTCCGGCGTGGTTCGGTAGTCGACGGGATAGCATGTCCATGCTGCACAACGGATAACTATTGCAGCGATGAATATCCTTGATACACGGGAGAAATTCCATGCTGAGCAGGCGAATATATCGGGGTAGAGGTCAACTCGTCCAGGACACACATCGGCTTTTGTTATATCACCACCGGGAATATTATCCACCCATGCCACTGTTTGTTTTGTTTGCGTTTCTTCCCATCTCTGATACTCTTGCTCTAGCTCTAGAGCACGATGCATAATCTCAGTGACTAATTCGGTAGTTTCCGGTGACCGGGGATGTGACATTAGTATTCTATTTAGATCGCTACGCAATTCGGCTACTTGTAGGTTTAATCTGTTGACAAAGGCAGCCCCTTCATCTTTCTGAGAATCAGCGCACCACCAGTCGGCACCTAGCATAGGAGTCTTGGATGAAGATAGACAGTTGACAAGCTAAATGCATATTAGTATCGAATCCACTAAAAGGAGGGGCAACTAGCATACCATTTGTCCTCGAACACTTTGGAATAAAGCAACACCAACTTTCGTCCTTAGCTGTTTCTTCCCTCTCATCTTCACTATTTGTACAGCTCCATCGATATGTGATCCCCAAGCCGTGATACTCGCTTTCTCTTGAGTAATGGTTTCGAAGAATCCCAGTAATATAATCGAAGCTAGTGTCTGATCGGATTTTTGTTGTACTGGATTTTGAAGCGCCAAGTTAACAACCTTCAACGCCTTGGCGTAATTTTCGATAGCTAAATGCATCAAATTGCTTCCTCTTGCATTTGGTTTATTTGCTAAAGAAGCCATGGCCACAGCTTGGAAGGAAAGTGACAACGCCGAGTCAGAAGCCTCCGTCTTGATTAATGGTAATACCCAGTCAAACGAGCCTCGTATTTGTCCGCTTTGTGGTATGATGACGAAATTTGACATGAAATAACACGGTGCTTGTTGCTCGATAGGACTAGTGAAGGCCACTTGTAATCCTAGGGCATCTGAAGACGAAGAATCATCGCCATCGGATTCGATCTTGGCCAGCTCCATTCCAGTCGTTGAATACATGATTTCGGCATCGTTGGAACTTGAGTTAGAGACAATTGAAAACTTGCGAGTTGCATCACTTCTATTCACTGATCCGATCTGGGTGTTGTTGTTGCTGCCCCTCTTGTTCTTTAATGATCGTCGTGCTCGTCTTTCTGTAGCTTTTGTCTCATTACGGAAGACAAGATCGAAGTCATCCTTATATCCTGGACATTGTCGTCTTGATTTTTGACACTGGTTGCAAGTGGGTTTGGTTTCATCACACTATGAGGATGATATTAGCAAACCAAAAGTTCTCCTTGATAGACAACGTTAAAGACCACACCTTTATCCTTCGAGTTCTGCACATCTGGCAGCCCCGTGAAGGCTTGCCACAGTATACCATCTTGATATACCTTGACTTTTCTGTTTATTCTTTGACAAGATGAACCCTTGATATAACAATAGGTTTGACTGAATACTTTGTTTCCTTCCAGCTCACAATTGATCATCCAATTTCTCAATCAAAGTTTCGAAAAGAGGAAATTCGAGGAAAGGGACAAGATGATGTGAATATACAGTAAACAATATATGGGACGAGGCTCTAAAACCCATGCGATATTGACAAATGGCTGTGCTTTAGATCTGAAACTCATACATGAAGTTACAACTCGGTAACAGCTCCGATGAGACAAGCTAGAACAAGCTTTATTCCTCCGATTACACCTCGGTCACAAGTTTGAGCAGTTAATGAAGAATAAAAGTGCGTGCTAGGGATAAGCATGTAAAACAGAAGGTCTAATCAAATTGACTTGACTTGACGGTGCAATAGAGATACCGGTAGCAGTGGAGAAACAGAGGTGAAATATATGATTTAGATGAAAGAAGAAACAAGATGGATTGACATCTGTCAGTCTAGGATGTTTAAATGGTTAATAAGTTCAAGGCTTTGAAGTCGTTGGAAGAGAGCCACCTGCGGTACGGGTTTTGCAAATTGTAGAGCATCCCCGTTACCTACCTAGACGGTTACTAGTTAGTGGGTTTTAGCAAAGGTACCAAGTAGCAAGTAGCAAGTAGCAAGCACTAGGCAGTATTTAAAACAAAACCATCTAGATTTACCGGTAGATTGTTTCGAAATCGAAAAATGATGATCAAGTAAAACTGGGGGAGAGGGAAAAAAGCATTGAAGGGCAAGCAGACAATTTACAAACAAGCTTCCAAACAAGCACCACCACTTTTTTCTTCCTTACCAGCTGAATCAATCGTGCAGCCAGTCGCCGATGTCAAGGGATGTTTGATGCAAACTCTATCCTTTAGTCAAGGATCCCCCTGGACGAGAGACCTCTGAGCGATCAATACCACCCCTAACCCCTCTTTTGGGGAGACTTCTTTTTATGTTTTGAATAGCAGGGGACTTGAAGGAAGGTGGATATCCGCACATTTTATACTGCAGAGGATTGGAGTCGAGGAGGATGATTAGTTAGAGAGAGTACGGGTAAAACTCTCAGCTGAATATAAAATGAAAATGCAAGTCAAAATGAAGAATGGATATATAAAAAAGGCAATACAGTAAAACCTCTCCATAAGGATCCCCCCTATAAGGATAACCTCTTTATAAGGATATATTTTTCGGTCCCCAAAATTTTCAGGGCTCAAAAAGGCCTATATCCTTAGAACCTCTTTATTAGGATATCCTTATATTTCTCGGTCCCAGGATCACGTGTATATCCTTATTGGACCAGTAGAATCATCAGGATTAGCTATCACATGATAAATATACTGGGGGTTTCAAGAGATTCAATTGAAACTCTAAAAATGTCACAGAAATAGCCCGATCGGGACTAATCGGAAGGAAATTACTACTATATCGGGATTAAGCGGGACCTCTATACAAGGATACCTCTATATATCCTTAAAAAAGACTACAAAAACCGGTATCCTTACAGAGAGGTTTTGCTGTAGATCTAAAAGATTTACCAACTAGAAACGCATTTACCGATGATAAGTAATCATTCAATCACTCATTCAATTATCCTTGAAAGAAATTGGAGAAATTACCTACCAGTCCTCCGGTTCAAGCCGGTAGGTATACTTCGTCGATAGCAACTATCCCCCAACGGTATTGCCGTCCTCGGAGAATAAGGAAATTGTAGGGAGATTTTGTGTTGTTATACATACCTTCAGTGCATAGGAAATACGAAAGAAACATTTGGTATACCGGTGGATAGGATATCCGACCTAGATTCCTCTTAATTCTCCCATGTGCAAAGTACAAACTGTTGAAAATGTGATTAAGTAAAGGGGCAGTGGAGCAAGCGGGGGTAGTTTGGTCAAAACGGTAAAACGACGTGCTATCAGTGCGATGATTACTTGGGGGCGTATTATGAAGCAAAGTTCCAAAGAACTATCTTATCGTGCGACGGTTAACCGTCAAAGACAGTCTCACTGTTGGATTTTTTTGAGGTATTTCACCTATCTAAGCGTGCGAATGTGAAAGTTCAACTGTTAAATGGTTGTATATATGTATGGCTGTATTTGTATATATATAGGTAAATAGATTTGTATATATATAGGTAAATAGATATATATATCCATACATGTACGTGTATATGTTTATGTGTATATATATGTATATATGTGCATATTCATTCATTATCCGGGGAGTGTCACTCTAAATGATACTTGCTCGAGGCCCCAGTCGTATCAAAAAGATCGACCATCAAAGCAGTTCTTGTTTGTTGTGTTCGCGGTGGTGGTTCTTGGATTGGATGCATTTCCATGCATAGCATGTGCAGCTGTGTGCAGGTATGTATGGGTCATTACTGGACCTTCTACATGGGTATCTCTACAAATGAAGTAGATCAGGTTATACTGCCGCGAGAGATCTACAGAGTCCCCTTTGACAGCTTTTCTTGGGAGATCTCGGAAAAGGGTCCGGCAATGTCGTAAGAAGTCATGGAAATATATTTGAACTCTAAATCATACGATCTGGAGATCTATGGATATATGGTATGGGTGTGAGTGAGTGTGAACACATGTATGTGTATGTGTATGAGTATGTGTGTATCTGGGTAGACATGTCTATCAATTGCTGTCTACACATAGTAAGGACGTACTGTATATCAAAGTACTTTGTAGTCAGACATTTCCAATAGCTTGACATCTCGAGAGGCGAGACATCGAACGATAAGTGGAATAACGGTCCCGTAATAACGGCATCTACCGCAAGTCACCTGCATTCTAGGTCATCGGCATTGAATCCAAATCCACTATTAATAATAACAATGAGGCTACATTCATCACACTCACCACACTCATGACATTGATGACATTCATGACATTCATCACCTAGGTACATTCATTGATAATGGATCAACCGCAATTTGTGGTCCAATTTGACCACAAACGGCTTACAAAGTATACCTATACCAAAGTCAGAAAACAAATTCAGACATTCATTTCCGCTCTTCGCCAGATCAAGCAAATGTATACCGGCACTACAGTCTCCAATCCATTCACAATACACGTTGGCACCACACCCTCTTCAAACCTAATCTATCCTGGCATGGCAATGGCATGCCATACCAGTGATACCACCCTCAATCTCCAATCTCAGATTTCCATTGAGATTTCCCGTTCTGCAAGATCCCGAGCCGCTCTACCTTACCATCCATCCATCCATCCATCCATCCATTCCTTGATCCAGCCCGGAACCTCTTTCCATCTCCCCTTCATTCCCGATTTCCCAAGATCAAACCCAAGTCTCTTTACTAACAAGGTTATTCCGATCGATGCATGCTAGCAACCACACCTATTGTCAAATAAAATACCCCCATCTACCAATCCCATTCTTCACAACCTCTTCACAACCACAATCTTCTCGAGCCCTTCTCCATCTCTGTGCCTCGTCGAAAAAGCACACAACATCCAGATCCACACGCATCTGTCAAATCAAATCAAATAATGCTTCCTAGGTATCTCGAGGTCTACGTATATCCTCCCAAACCCATCCACCTACCCCACCAGAACGCGACCCAAGCGTAACATCCCCCTCAAGGATAAAATATACAGAACGACTGGGGTTTCAAACTAACGCCTAATATTTCCCAATTCAATTGTGCAAACAAGATCTCACTGGACCATTTTTGGCGAATGTAGACGAACCCTGAGATTACATCTCTCCCGGCCTCCGGAATCGTCTTGGAAGGATGAGGCGTGAGGTAGTAGCCTCGAATCGATCGATGGTGATGCCGATGATGGAATCAAAGATGGATGGACGATGGCTCGCCCCACTGCTAAACCATGGGTTTGGAATTTGCTTTGTTTGATATATAAGACATTTTGTGCTAACGGCCGATTCAACTAGACGATGTATGCTATTAGTAGAGCATATTCCTTATTCTTTTGACGGCAGGAGAAGTCTCTAGAAGCTCTGCACGACAATGCATGTCGTCAGGTCAGGGGAACATCATCAGCTTCAGGAATGAAAACGCTAGTTTCAGCTCCTCCTCATCCTTTCTATGCACAAAGGTATACGCACTCGATCTACTCAATTGCTCTTAAAACGGTAACCTAATCCAAAGGCATGCTTACCAATAACCTTATCGGGACTGCTTTGCATGCACGCACCATATGCGTGAAGAATTGACGACCTGACAGACAAATTGGCCAGGGATTATGTCCGGATCTGTCAATTGAGCATACACACATTCTCCCCCAGCAGACCTCATCTCTTCTCCACCAGTGAACACACCTCCTCGTTTTCCCCTACCTCAATCCAATCCGTTTCGTCTCATCTCGTCTCACCCCCATCTCAAAGCCCTCTCCATCTCTATCCCCTTCCTCCATCCCGTTCCCTCTAAAGAAAAACAAGGTATAACAAGACCCCAGCACCCGGATACCTACCACCCCATACATAAACAATACATACATTATTGACGCATCCAAGATGTCATCAACCACACATCAACCCAAAATCATCCACATCATGACATTCCCATTTCTTGACCCCCAATCAAACTCCTTTTCTGCACCACTCACATGCCGCCGCATCCATTCTATTCCATTATATTCCTATACATTTGCATATAGCTAGTGCTACGTCCTGTACTGTACCACGCTGCATATGCGAGATCGAAATTACCATTCCTACAGGTAACAGAACCACCCATCTACCTCCCTACCGTCAATCTCCATACCCATCCCCATCTCCAAACCAATCACCCAACTCAACCCATCATCCCCATTCATCCATCCATCCATCTACCCATTCGCAAACATTTCCCGATCCATCCATCCCTTCTCCCTCTCTCCATCCAAGTCCCCCCAATCTTTCTCCTCTAACCGCCAATCACAATCACAACTACCAAGAAATTCCCCTCCCACCCCTGTCTTAAATCCGGACACTTGCATCTACCGTAGTAACTGTACTACTACCCTACTACTATCCCCTAGACTGCCGGCTTAGGACACCTTAAATAGTCCGTGCACAAGCTCAACCATCAATAATTCAATAAATGATAATATAATTAAAAGTCTTGATAATATATTCAAAACTTGAAATTTATTAGAAAAATAATTATAAAATGGATTTAAAAGATATTATTATAAACAGTTGATAATTATTATAAAAAACTCATATTTCGATGATGAGAATTCTCAAATTTCTGATGTTCTGATTGGTCAATAGAGCGAGGTGTCCTCTGTTGGCAGTCTAGGGGATACATCATCTCATCTAACCCATCTCCATCGTCTATCTCCATACGACACGACGAGACGAGACGACACAAATCTCTGACCACGGCGTTAAGTAGAAACTTGCTTTTTTCTGTCTTCTCCCACTCTAACCCTAACCCTTTAGCTTCGTCCCATGTCTCCCATGTTTATCTGAAATCCATATATCCCTCATACACAAAATCCATAATCCATAATCCATAATCCACAATCTCGCCATCCAAGTTCCAAGTTCCAAGTTTCAACTCACATTCCCTCGTTGAGGATAGGACCCGACTCCTGAGTCCTTCTGGTAAGTCTAACAATCTATCATGCATACCTACTTCATTAAAGATCCAGAATCCAGAATTCAATATGCAAATTCTATGACGCTCACAAACATACTAAAAAATAAACAATCAATCAACATCGCCACAAATCCAATACGCTGTGTGTAGAATCTTAGATGGATAGATAGATAGATAGATACATGTATAAATACCAATATGCTATCTGTGAACCACACTGCGAGTACCTAGATAGATGAATATCCAGTAGGGATTTTGAGATATACCTATCTGTCTGTGTAACTATCCACGCAAAGTATTATGAAGAAATATAGACAGGTTGAGGCCACAGCTGTAGCCGTAGCTGTATCTGTAGGTACCTATACCTAATAACCCACCCACTAAACCCATCAATGAGCCAGCGCACTCCATCCCCATCGCCAACCCTAACCCCTATCCACGACGCACTTTCCTGATTTATCTTTTGTAACGTGTATATTCTCAGCAGACCTCTATTCCCCCGTTCCTTTCCCTTTTATCATTATCTCCTTCTCTCTCTCCAACCCTGTCCTTCCCTGTCCTTCCCTGTCCTTCCTTTTCCATTCCTTCCTTTCCCACCCACCCATCCTCCCCCTCACCAATCATCTAATTATCAAAAAGTCCCGCCACCCCCTCCAAATCATCAATCTCACTCTTAACCTTCCTATTATCCTCAACCGGTCCCCTCATAAAAGCCTCTTGCATTTTGCTCCTCTCCTTCCTCACTACACTTGCACTCTTCGAGATCCTTCCCTGTTCACTAATACTAACCCCCTTCAAATCCTTCAACAAATCCAATATCAACGCCCGCTGAGTTCTCTGTTGAACACCCTGTACTGTCAACGCTTCAATACATTTATTTACTGCTTTTTCTTGAATACCAGGTAGACTGAGGAGGATTTGTTTAGGGGTATCTGTAACGGGTGCATAGTGAGCTAGAATCGATGCGATAAGAGAAGCGAGATCTTTTTGTAGTTCTACGAAATAGGGCTCATTTAGTGACGAAATGGCAGCTTTTAATACTTCGGTGCTGATGAATTCTCTGATCGATGAAGCGAGAGAAGAATCGTTGCCCGAGGAGAATTCGGGAACAATAGATCGGAAAACACGGAGGACAACTCCGCAACAACGGGTATCTCTCATGCGAATAGCGTGTGTCAAGAAAAGTAGAAGAGATTCTAAAATAGCTTGTGATGTCAAGCAAAACTTTCTCATGCTTGGATATGAATTCGCTTGATTTTGAATGAATGTCGAAGCTTCTTTGGCTGACCTCGGTGCGGGTGTGCTTCCGATATCTATCAAAGGGTTAGTCTTGGTAACATATGTGAAGATTTTTGGCAATTTACTTGGTCGTGCTGGATCGAGGAATCCAGCAATCATCATGACAGATGTATGTGTCAACTGTCGCAGAATGCTCTCTTCCTTCATTTCCTCGGTCAAAGTGTCTCCATCCGCAGGAACCACTTCCTTATGAGATAATCTCTCCCATTCAGAACTACATTTAGCGTCCATTTGAGCGAAGCAGGAAGCCAATATAGGAGGCACAAAATGAGATCGAACTTCTACTGGACAATCATCCACCATGAGTCGCACAACGTTCAACAAAGCAATAAGTTGATGCGAAGACAAGCAATGAGCATCTGCGAATAAAGCATTTGCGAGTGGTCCAGGAAGCTCGCTAAAGCCATAGAAATCAACATCCAAACGACTCATAGAATAAAGTATCGAGTAACAAGACTCTCTAACAGTACGAATTGAGCCTCGTATAGATGATGCAAGACCTTCCATGGTAGATTTGGTACCAGTAACCCTAGCATAGAAGTCATCTTTACTTCCAACCGATATTCCAGATTGCCAGAAGCGGTCTGTCAGAATTCGACTAACAATTGGTGCCATCTCTGGGGGAAGTTCATTCCAATTTGCAGGATTATGAAAGGCATGTGCATGACTATAAAAATTAGTAAGAAAATCGAAAAAAAGCAGTTCCACTCTTACCTCAAGTATCTTAAAAGAGTTGGCAATATAATTGGCAGCGCATCTCTCCATAAGGTGCAGGAAACCTTATAGGCGGGGTCTTCTTTCTCAAGCTTCTCGGTCGAGCAGCCTAGGAATGATTTTGTAGTTCTCAATGGCAGTGCCTGTACTCAGCTTAGTAATAGCCCCTTGAGTTCAACAGTATTGAACATACCTTTAATCTTTCTTCCATATCTTTCTGTATCGATTGAGCTTCCGAGTCAAGCTGATAAGTCGACCAATCCTGTATCTCATGAACTCGCCTTGTGACAAGGAAGTCTCTCACGCGATTCAACCCAAGTAGGTCACAGAACCCAGAGAACCCTTCGACCGCGTGATTCATTTCTGAATCTTGCCAACTTGCTTGCACAGGTGTTAGAAATCCGTGCAGCTTTTGTAAACGAATCTCTGGGTCAATTTTAGAGTTACGGTGGCTGCTAATATTAGTCCGATATCTCATATTTGGCTGTGAGGAGCAACATACATGATTGTGAATAAGAAAGTCTGATAAGATGTCTGGCGCTTCTTGTCGAGATTTCTGGTAGAAATAATTTCATCGACCTTTGCTTGGAGTTGATCATAGACGTCCTGCGAGCCTCGGTCAGTAAACACATCTCAATTAATTTGAAAGAACTCACCAATAGTTGATCAGGCATTTTTCCGGCTAGTCGTTGCAACTCATAAGCAGACTCTGCTTGTAGCTCTTTCACAGCTTCCGTATAAGCTGAGGCGTTTGGATACTCCATGGGTT